GGGAGGGAGCTGGAAGGTCATCCTGTTCCAGCCCCCCGCCATGGGCAGGACCCCCCCACTACAGCAGGGTGCTCCAAGCCCCATCCAGCCTGGCCTTGAACACCTCCAGGGATGGGGCATCCACCACCTCCCTGGGCAACCTGTGCCAGGGTCTCACCACCCTCACCGTGAAGAACTTCCTAATGGCCTTTCCAGCCTCTCAGGTGAGATTTGGAGGTTTTTGTCCAGGTGTAGAGACTCACTACACCCCCCTGCATGCACCAACAAATCCATTGCCAAACACTCGTTACCTCCAGTGCTCCCAAATTTATTTGTGTTTCCTCTCCCCCTGCTCTCTACAAGGTCACAGACAGAAATGCAGCACGCACCCTGTGGTGTTTGTTACAAGGAGACATCACCCTGTCACCATGGAATGTAAGCTAATAGGAGAGAAAATGAGTTTTTTTACAAATTGGCTTGATCAACACATTTATTTTTGTGGCTGCTGTTGGGGGTACAAAGGCTTTGAGTGTAAAAGTGATTTACAGGGGACAGTTTTAACACCTCATCGAAGAGGATGGGCTTTTATATTATATGGGATTTATACATTTTTAGATTTACACATTTTAAAATTTCTATGGGGAATGATACTGCTGAAATCAAGAGCTAGATCATATCCTTTAAAAGCATCAGAAGACCAAGGTTTAGTTTTCACACTTGTGTATTTGAAATGTTACATTTAAATGTTATTCAGAAGAACACTAAAGTTACAAAATACAATAATCTGAGTCTGAAATAGTAAAAATAGGGAGCCTGTGTCTTCGTTAACAATGAATAAATATAACATTTAAATAGCTGCAACATACCAAATACTTATGCCTTAAATAAAAAAAAAAATAGATTAATCTCTCTCAATTTTTTAGAAGTCACTTAGTGCTGCTGGAAGCTTCTAAATTACAAAGCTGGAGGCTGACAAATATACAGGATAGAAAATGACAACAGAGTGTTGACAACACTCATCTCACACCTTCTGCCCGAGGCTTAACAGAACCTAGTTCAGACTTTGTGGTTTTGGGCAACGGCAGCAAAAAGGACTCTTCAAGTTTAGGACTTGACAGTGGAGGGGAAAATAAAGGGATTTTACTCGACTATATCCCCCCAAAACAGGGTGAAAGACGCAGACCCTGACACCCACTGCCCCAGCACACAATTGTTTAGGCTGCCAGCTTCAGTGCACGGCACAAAAATGGATAGAGGGTATTTCACTAATATCATCTATTATTGTTTTAGCTCGAGAACCCCTCGAGGGGAGGTCTGTAGCTGCAGTACACAGGCCACACCACCAGGACAGATTTCAGCCAGCTTCCCATTACTCCTTGGGCTTGAACACGTACTCCCTCATCATGGAATACAACACACCTAGGAGGCAATACCAGCACAGTGAGAAAGCTGGGTTAAACAGGGAATAACAGCTTCCAAATCTAACAATAAGGGATGCTCTGAACAACAGAACTGTTTCCCTTCCTCTTTTTTTATAACGAGGATGAACGCTGCAGAATTTTTCATATCAAGTGGATAGGAAAATAGACTGGATATAAAAATGCAGATCCCAGTTCTAGTGTTCAGCTAAAGTCAAGATTTTCTGTTGCACGTCCTGCAGGCAGACTGTTCTTACACATACACATGGCAGCAATACTTAGAGGAGACCTGAGATCTACACATCTCAGTGTGTTCAGGGACACAATTCCAGTCCCACAGGCAATAACTATATAAAATATAATCCCACAATATACATAATGTGATTTCCCAACACATTAAATTCAGAAAGGGTAACAAAGGAACGTATCAACACCAGATAGATGGCTGTTTTTTTTTCTTTGCACCTGCAGAACCTCACAGGCTTCTCCCATCTAGAAGCAGGAACTTCCTCTCAAAGTGAGCAGTCTATTGTTCAATATATGTCCTTAACAATCACATTATTCTAGAATTGTTACCAGTAACAACCACAACAGCCTGAAACATGATGACCTGGCCACTTCCACCCCCGGGATACTTCAGGCACCCTGGAGTTTGCAGCAGGAGCAGCAGCCTCCCCCCTGCTGGGTACCTACCACAGGTTATGGCTCCCACAACGAAGCCCTGGGCTGCCACACGCATGTGAATCAGGTGGAGGGACATCTTCATCTCCCCTCTGTGCTTCAGCCTGTACAGCCCGTAGCCGACCACCACGGCGAAGCCAGCCATCCCTGCAAGGCAAGGGAGGTGTCCTCAGGCACCCAGGTCTCTGGAGTGATCCACTTAAATACCCCAGGAATAATCCCATTTTGGTCTAATCCCTCTGTTTCTGGGGAAATGGCAAATCTTGGTCTGTCTGCTGTTCTCAAGTGTCACCTCATGCAATCAGAGTCGTGCTGGTTGGAAAAGAACTTTCAGGGCATTGAGTCTGTTCCCCCAGCAGTGCCAGGTCCCCACTGCCCCGTGTCCCTCACCCCACATCTCCACAGCTTGGGAACCCCTCCAGGGGTGGGGACTCCACCACTGCCCTGGACAACCCTTGCAGACAAGACATTGCTCCTCAGGCCCAACCTCAGCCTCCCCTGGTGCAACTTGAGGCTGATTCCTCTTCTCCTGTCCCTTGGGAGCAGAGCCCGACCCCCCCCTGGCTCCAACCTCCTGTCAGGAACTGTGCAGAGCCAGAAGGTCTCCACACCCAAACCAGAGAAGACCAAGAGATTTCCACCAGTGTTAAAAAGCCACAGCAGCAGCTCCAGGTAGCAGAGCTTCTCTGATACTTTTCAGAATGCCCAAGTGCTGCCTGGACCCTCTTTGCTCACACCTGAGAACAGCCTCAGCTGCAGCTCAGACCCTCAGCCTGCAGGCACACCCTGACGTGCCCCCCAGCCTGCTGAGGGTGCTCTTTGGGGGTTGTCCATTCGTCCAGCTTTCAGGACAAGTCCTATGTCACTCCTCCTGTGCTGTGAGGACAGAGGATTGAAGGCTGTAAAGTTGTAAACCTTCAATTTGCCAGTGTACAATCCACATCATACCTTTGTTTAAATACCAATTAAGAGTTTCAGGGCCTTCAAACTCACTCTGACAGAAGCCAAAAGTAAATTCTGCCTAAACGTGCTCGGAAGAACCCGAAGTTGCCGAGTTTGGAGCACGCCTTAGCAGGCTGGGGAGCAAAGTCCTGTGAGCCCTGACAGCAGTGACGGCATCTGCTGGCAAACCCCCAAATGGTTCACCCCAGGCGACCTTCCTGCACCCCCTCGTAGGCAGCTGGGCACCAAACCGTGCCCTCAGCTGCTCCTGGTGGCAGGAAACTTCTCCTCATCCTCCCTCTCCTCGGATTGTGTTAGTTTGAGAGTCCCTTTGCAGTAATCACAAAGTTGCCAGGGACTGTTCTCCAGAACTGCTGTCGAACGCCTCAGTGTCACCCAAACGTGGCTTTTTAAGCTCACCTCAACAGCCTTCCAGGGTTTATTTGGTTTGGATTTTTTTCTGGGGAGAAATTGCAGGTTCTGAGCTTCCTATTTAAGCTAAGACCTCATTTTTTTCCCTGTTTCTTGCAGAATACTGCCCCAGGCAGAAGTGTTGCTGTCACCACACACCAGGAAGTAATTCCAAAATAATCTCCTGCTCCCAGTAAACTGTTGAGGGCATTTATTGGCTGTGAAGAGGGGGACACACAGACCCACACTGCTGCACCCCTCCCCTCACCGATGGGTACAAACGGCGTCTCCTTGAACTTCCTGAGCAGCTTCGACGTCTGGCTGGTGTCACTCTCATACTCAGGGAAAACGGGTTCCTGACCGGGTGACATGGTGCCTGTGAAGACACAGAGGCTCCCTTCAGGTCTCAGGAACACCAGGTGAAGAGAACCTTTAGGAAAACAAACCCCCCTGTGTATTCCACCCACGCAGCGAGGGACGAGCACATGCATGAGCTACACACAGGTGACTGAACCCAAGGGAAGCCTTGGGAAGCAAGATCATCACATATTGGACGACAAGATATAAAAAAAAGCAGTGAAGCAACAAATTTCTGCCTTCTGTTTTCACAGCATTACAGATCTCAGCCCCTCAAACCCTCCCAGGCAGCGAGAAGCCCCCAAAAGCTTCGGCCAGTGCCCCTGCCTCCTCTTTCAGGACTTCCATCCTCCACCACACGGCCTTGCTTTCACAGACCACTGCCCAGCAGCAGCTCTGCCCTCGGGGGAGCTCAGCCCCCCTCTCACTCCCCACCACGGCCTCGCCCACCTCACTCACCGCTTCAGCGTGGCTGCGAGCTCCCGCCGGGGAAGGCCGAGTGTAAAATGGCCGCTGCCCAGGAGGAGGGACGAGCTCTGCAGCCCTCGACAGCCACAGCCTCCTGCGGGGATACACGAGAAGGGTCAGGAGAGTTCCCACTGCGGCCCAGCGGATTGCTCACCTGCCCCAAGAGCACCAAACCAGCAAGGCCACCCGCCTGTGACAGGGACAGCAGGACGCCGAGACCCGTGTTCCTCCACATCACCCTTCAACCAGCGCCCGCTTCTGCCAGCACAATTAGCTTAGGGACCCCGCAGAGGTCTCTGCCGGAAAGATCTCGACTAGGTTCCACCAGCACCCCCAGCAGCAGAGCACAGCTCGGCCTCACGTGGGACTGCTCCAAGCGCTTGAAATAAGCCACCAGGAGTTTCATTTCGGCTGACAGAGAAGATCCCCTGCGCAGCCTGCTGA